AGAATGAGTTAAACGAGAAACATAAACAGATCTCAGACAAATAGACTTGGCGACCGAAACTGTTGTTTTGAATGTTAGTGATTGTTCGTGAGTCTTTGATTAGCATGTATTTGACAACATATCATCGATAATCATGTCCCGAATAATATGACGCTTCGTTGCCTTTATCCGCGGGTACATCAGCATCGACGTGGACTAATAAGAAGCCTCCAGGACGATTCGAAAGAAAGATTTAAGAGCAGCAACGAGGAAAAGGAGAACATATTATTCTCGCACATTATTGCACACTTTACTTTACTCGCTTTTTGCTTTTGCCTTTCGGCTTTGTTCGGTTTATGCTTTGTTTTTGTCACGATTATTGTATGAGCATAAATATCGTTATCTGTTATCATTAAATTGCTTCGAGTACGTGTCACTTTTCTACCGTGTGGTCATTCTTGGCGCCTTTCTTTTCGAGCATCGCGGTGGCTTTCTCGACCATTTCTCCGTTTCGCTTACGGCTTAGCTTATTGACTACCTAGGCCTTAAAATACTAAACACCAAACAGCTACGAAAACAAAAGAATAACCGCTAATCGCACTACGTTTACAAGCGGTAGGCGAAGAACAATTAAAAGCGAGACTCATACCAAATTCGAAATAGCTATGCTTGCTTTTATAATCTCCGCCGCACGCTGTTCTGCTACAGTAGCATCGCTTGTTTGTCTTTAGCGCCTACACCGCGCAATATCGTTCTCCGCATTTCCTCTTTTCCTCTTTCTTGTTGCAGCTCGGCCTGAACCGTTCAGAGACTTAGAATTCACGTCGAAAAAGCGATAGAAAGGTCGATCGACGTTAAATAAAATATCGGATCTTACAAATTTTCGGCGAGAAAGAAATACGTCACCCGGCAGACCGCAACTCTGGCAATGAAATTTTTTTATACGATCCAAGATCGCGGTCTGCCGAATGACGTTTTTCTTTCTCGCTGAAAATTTGTAAGATCCGATATCTTATTTTATACCGTTTCATGTTTCTAAAAATATCATCTAGACAATGAAATATTAAAGAATAAAGAACCTGATATAATAAATTTTTCATAATTATAAATAATTGTATATATTAATTATATCGAATATAATTAAAAGCTGTGGCTCGGCCTGAGCCGCTCGGGGACTTAGGATTTACGCCGAGAACGCGAAGAAAAACTATCGTGTGATAAGTCAGTGTGACAAGGCGAGCATAAGCGCACTGTCCCGCTCGGTGTACGATAAGGCAAGCATGAGTGCGCTATCTCAGTCTCGCTGCGTCAAGTGTAAGGAGTGTGAGGAGACCGAGTGGTGGGGGTAGGTCGCGACCGTGCACGCGGTGCATTCCCAGCACTGCTCTTCTAGTGCTGTGGTCGGGCTATCGGGACCTCCCGCTCCTCTTCCTCAGGGGATAAGCCCGTCCTCTGGCCATAGTGCGGGCCCATCTCTTCCACACCCATCTGGCGCTGCGGAGTGCTCCTGAACAATTGTCAGCTGGGAAAGGGCTGCCGGCCCAGGGCTCTTGGCCGACCCCGCCGCGTCGCTCCTCCTTTCTCCTCCCCCGGGAAGCTAGTGTCATCGTTAGGTTGCAGACGACGACACCTTATTGCTCATTCCTCCTCGAATCTTCCTTGAGACCCTTGGCCTTCTTCTTTTGCGCCATCACGGTTTCGTAGAAGGAAGAAACTACCTTCCAATTCTCCTCGCTTCCCGTTCATTAGTTCGATTCGTTAGTTTGAATGACCTGGGAAGCGAAAAATCCTGCCCGATTGCTGCAACCACAATCCTGCGCTCTGCTGTTCAGGCAGGGTAATCCTGAAGGGTGTGCTGCGCAGAGTCGTTATCGCGATCGCGGAAGGTGGCACTGTGCCGTGCACCCTTCTCTATTCGACACAGATACTCACTGTGAAAAGCAGCGTGCCCGGTGAGTATCTATCAGTTTGAAAGTCAAGGACTCAGGTTTCCTATTTAGCCATTTGGGCAGACAGGGATGGCCTCGGCGGTTCTCCTCCGCGCAGTGGCATCCATCAGGTGCCTCTGCCACCTGATGAGGAGGAGCCACAAGTCGTGCAAAGCTCAGTAACATACGCATGAACTTTTCCTAATAGCTTTCACGTCATCCGTAAAATATTATTGTGGACTTTCTTTAATTAATTAATTAATTAATTAATTAATTAATTAATATTCTCTGATAAGCCTAATCCACTGATGATTGAAACGACTTTTTATCAAAAAGCAAAACGAAATAATAAATTAAAGAATAATATTCAGTCCTCCCGGATTATTTTTAGGACTCTAAAGGATCACGAAAAAAACCGAATGTTGTTCGTCATTTAATCATTTCATTCTGCTTTTCCATAACGTAAAAGGTCGTTTCAATCATCAGTAAATTAGGTATACCAGATATATAAATATGAAATCGGAATTTTTGTATAGAAAATACACGTTTATTGTATGAAAATGATAAAAAATATTTTATTCGAAGTATTGCCCATCGCTAACTATACAATTTTCCCACCTGTCTGACAATTTTTGGATGCCACGCCAAAAAAACTGTTGCTCTTTTGAGGCAAACCAGTCATCGAACCATTTTCGTACATTTTCGTAAGAAGTGAAGCGCTGCTCAGCAAGTACGTGTCCCATCGATGCAAATAAGTAGTAATCGGACGGAGCCAAGTCTGGTGAGTAAGCCGCATGCGAAAGTATTTCCCAACTAAACGCCTCAATCGTTTCCTTCACCAGGTTTGCTGTGTGTGATGGTGCATTATCATGAAGCAAAATCACTTTGTGTTGCCTTTTTTGATATTCTGGTCGTTATACAAGCAAAGCTTGATCCAAATCGATCATTTGTTGTCGGTAGCGTTCAGTATGAACGGTTTCGCCAGGTTTCGCCAGGTTTAGGAGCTCATAATAGATCACACCCTTCTGATCCCACCAAACACAGAGCATTGTCTTCCGTCCATAGCGATTTGGCCTTGCAGTCGATGTCGATAGTTCGCCTGGAGTTACCTATGATCTTTTACGCTTAGGATTCTCAAAATATATCCACTTTTCATCGCCAGTCATAATTCGATGGAGAAATGACTTTCTATTGTACCTGGCGAGCAGCATTTCGCAAGTGGTTTTTCGGTTTTCCTGCTGTCTTTCATTCAGTTCATATGAAACCCATTTCCTCATCTTCTGGATCTTTCCCATGGCTTTTAAACGTATAGAGACGGCTTCTCGTGTCAAATTTAATTGATCCGTGAGTTGTTGTTGCGTTTGAGCGTCATCCTTATCCAACAATGCTTGTAATTCGCTGTCTTCAAACGTTTTCGGTGGTCTTCCACGTTCTTCGTTTCTCACGTCAAAATCGCCACGTTTGAATTTTTTAAACCACTCAAAGCACTATGATTTACCAAGAGCATGCTCACCGTAAGCTTCGACAAGCATTCCATGCGATTTTGCGGCAGTTTTCTTCAAATGGTAACAGAAAATCAATGCTGTCCGCAAATCGTAACTTTCAGGCACAAAATTCGACATGTTCAACGCTATTACAAACTATGCTGTTATATGAAACTTGTGTTGTTGTGTGTTGAAAATCTTTGTCAGATGTCAACAAATGGAAATGGCGCGAATGACGCGGTTTGACGGTAACTACATTGACAACTAGGGCCATCTATGGGCAAATTCCGGTTTCATATTTACAGACCTGGTACTAGAGATACTATAAAAAAAATACGTCAACAATAGCACCTTATGGATGACGTGAAAGCTATTGGAAAAAATTACGCGTATGTTACTGAGCTTCGCACGACTCTTGAGCCACGTATGAAGATAGTTGTAAGAGGAATAGCGATAGACGAAGCAAACCGAAGAAAATCGAGCCAAGAATGTAAAATTTGCCGAGCTTTATGTTACGGGATCATATTGACCCCTAGAGGTTATTTGAAAATCATATCAATTTTTAGATGAAAAATTCTTGAAGAAAGCAAAGAAAAATATTAAATATGAAAGTTGTAGGGTTTAAAGTGAGGCAGTTGATGGTGACGATCTTAATACAAAGACCAAACTTTGAGGTCATATCAACTTGATTCTTAGAAATTTCATTTTTGATATTAAAAATTAATAGAGCATAAAATTTTATATAAAACTGTGCAGTTATGATTTGGGATTACTTTGGCCCTAAGAGTCATATAAAGGTCAAACAGATTTTATATGAAAAAAATCTTCGTTTGACATCAGAATTTAACAGAGCATGAAATTCTATGTAAAAGTATGTAACTACACCATGAGGTCAATTTGACTCTGGGAGATCCTAGAATGTCAACTGAAGGTTAAATGGATCAAGATTGACAACGATCTAGTCAGTCAAGATCATCGGATGTTTCAGTCAATTCAAAGCAAAATTAACAATAATTAATATATCAAATTCCGTCAAACCAATCTTAAGTTTTGAGTACTAGTTTTGAGTATGAATACGGGTCTTAAAATGCAAGTTGGTCAGAGATTTATCGATCAAGACGAAACAAACGCTCGTTATGAAACGATCACTATGTGCAGCGCAGAGTTAGTGCTAGTCATCACAATACAACACTTTTGCGCGTTATGGTATTAACAAATAAGTACTTAAAAAAACTATTTGTATGCAGTGATTATTAAATGTCAGACGCCTTTAGACGTTTTTCGCATATGATAAAGACTTTCGTTAGACGATTATAGATGTTATTAACGTTTTAAGAGTTATGTTATTTAATCACTAGTGTTATTGTTTGTATTGTTTACTTCTAACAAAGATCAAATAGTAATAATATTTGTAACTCTAAACTCGTTGCTATTTGTCTATCATAGATAAAAAATCATTAAAACGAAAAAGGAAAACTATATCGATGTCTACATTTCTATAATATCTTTTATTTTTATAGAAAATAGATTGTACATTCTTAAACTTTATTTTTTTAAATACGCTTTTATATAAATGTGAGCGCTTTTATATATCGATTATTATTTTTAGGTGGATAGACAAAAAAAATCTGGATGAATTAGTTAAACCATGGTATTGTAAAGTATTACCTTTTCCATTAAACTTTTATTATCCAGGCAAATATGAACGACAAGCACAATCCTTGATACAAAGTTTATATCCTATGGAAGATAATATAAATGTTATTGAAAATAAGGTATGTATTAAATATATGTTAACTTTGAATTTATTATATTTGTAAGAATATTTAATAAAAAATAAGTATTCTGATTAATAAAGCCCATTTTCAATGACTTTAATGATAATCAATGTCATTATCTCATATGTTATTCAAAAAATTCAATTATCGATTACTGTTTATTAATAAATTCTTTTCAAAAAGAAATTAAAAGAATATATTTCTTGATTGATATATAAATATTCGGATTTAGTAATACTTGTGTGCAGATAGAACTTATCAAACTAAACAAAACATCTTTTATTATTTTAGAATCAACTACAATAATTATTGAGATACTAACCTTTTCGATACGGCAGATGTTCGTCGCATAATGTAATTTAGTAGTTGAGAACAATAGAATGATTTCTATAATTAATAATTTGATAATTATTGCGAATAGCGTAAAAAAATATGAGACTTTTATATTTTTTTTAATCTAAATTCAGTACTACACGTCTGTTGATTATAACTATATGAGTTACCAAACATCCTGTGAACTATATAGGGTGTTCCAAATTACCTGTACAATCTCTCGTGGAGACGTAGAGCGAGTCGAAATAAACACAAAAGTCCCATACTGTTTTGCGAAATTCGCAATAATTTTCGAGAAATTAATGTGAAAAGATGAAAGGGAAGCAAATCGGCAGAGGAAAAGCATTCGAACCACTCGAACCATAGCACAGCCTAGTTTAGTTTAATAACTGTCTCAATGGCGAGATGAAAGACAATGCACCGCTGTTTGTCCTTAAATCAGCGTTCCTATGTCTGACCACACCGCGCCTAGACTCGCGTCGATGGCTGATATATGGTTATGATTACAACTTTCTTCTTATGTTTTATGTCTCCACAAGAGATTGTTTAGATGATCTGGGATATCCTGTATATGAACTATACTGGGTGGACCATTTTAATCAATACGACTATCTCGAAAAGGAGAAGTTTTATCAAAAAATGTTTCAGACAAATGTTTTTTAGTTCGAAGGGGGACATAAGATTACATCATTGGTTTGATCTTGAATGAACATAGCAAGGTCACGTCAAGGTCAGCTTTAATTTTTAATGAAACCCCCTATTTCTCATTACATTCAAGTCTTATAACTCGGAAAATACTCAATAAAACATAACTTATTTATAATGTTTTCGAAAGCTCTCGAGATAAGCTACAAGAATATGTAATGACAAATAGGGGGTTCCATTTAAGAAATTGAAACTGATGTTGATGTGACTTTGACACGTTCATTCAAGGTCAAACCAATGACGTAATTTTATGCCCCTCTTCGAACCAAATAATTTTTATTTGAAACATTTTTTAATAAAACTTCTTTTCGAGATATTCGCGTGTATTAATTAAAATGGTCCACCCAACATATGATGTATATACCCAGTATATGATGTATATATCAGGTGTAGTAAAAAGAAATCCATTATTTTTCCAATAGATGGCTTTAGTTATCTGTATCTCGCGTTGTATAAGTCCGATCGGGTTCCACTAGATGGCGTTAGAAAGATGAGATTTCTAAAAAAACCTTTTTGACAGTTTTGTGATTAATTGACTCAGTTTTGTGTGAGCGCGCGTCAAAGATGGACACTATCAAAGAGAAAATACGCTATATTTTACGGTTTTTCTTCGATAAAGGCGAAAACGCAAGCCAGGCGGCTGAAAATGTGAATAGTGTTTATGGTCCTGATATTGTAACAGCCAATCACGCGCAATTTTGGTTTCGTCGATTCCGTTCCGGTAATTTCGATGTCAAAGATGCACCACGCACTGGAAGGCCAATTGTCGAAAATATCGATAAAATCATGGACATTGTCGAGTCCGACCGTCATGTAAGCACTGTTTCGATTGCCCAAGAGCTAAAGATTGCACAAAAAACCGTTTGGAACCATTTGAATAAGGCTGGATACAAAAAGAAGCTCGATGTATGGGTGCCACACGAGTTAACGCAAAAAAACCTCATGGACCGAATTTCCATCTGCGAATCGCTGCTGAATCGCAACAAAATCGACCCATTTCTGAAGCGGTTGGTCACTGGTGATGAAAAGTGGATCACTTACGACAACGTCAAGCGAAAACGGTCGTGGTCGAATCGCGGTGAGCCGGCGGAAACGGTGGCCAAGCCAGGATTGACGGCCAGGAAGGTTTTGCTGTGCATTTGGTGGGATTGGCAGGGAATTATCTACTATGAGCTGCTCCCCTACGGCAAAACTCTTAACTCGGAACTGTACTGTCAACAATTGGACCGTCTGAAGGAAGCAATCGCCCAGAAGCGGCCAGCTTTGGCCAATAGAAGAGGAATTGTGTTCCATCAGGACAATGCCAGGCCACACACATCGATAGTGACTCGCCAGAAGCTCCGAGAGCTTGGTTGGGAGGTTCTTATGCATCCACCTTATAGTCCGGACTTGGCACCAAGTGATTACCATCTGTTCCTGTCCATGGCGAACAATTTTGCTGGTGAAAAATTCGCTTCAAGAGAAGCTTGTGAAAATCGACTGTCTCAATTTTTTGCCAATAGGGACGAGGGCTTCTATGAAAGAGGCATAATGAAATTACCTTCAAAATGGCAACAAGTTATCGAATAAAACGGCGCATATTTGACCTAAATCGGATCATTCTAACTATGGTAATTAAAGCCTTCAATTTCATGCAAAAATAATGGATTTCTTTTTACTACACCTGATACTATACATACTGGATGTCTGACAAGGAAAGGACGCATCGACCGGGAAACGGTTTGGAACGAAACTTACGGAGTTAATAGTACTTGACTACTAATAACTCATGGTAATAGCATACGACGCAATATCTGTTCGTTTTCAAGAAAAAACGGTCTAAAGAAAAGAGCCAACAAAGTGTACGAGTTAGTAAGAAAGGTATTCAACGAAGCGGCGTAGCGCAGCAGCGAAGGTAACGGACTACCGAGCTGATGGCTGAGGTCCGATCCCTGCTGTATGATTTTTTTATTCTGTAAGCATAAAAATGAAACAGAAAACACCAATAAATAATAAAACTGCGTTTCTTACATATACTAGTGTTTGTTAAATATATTATTAATGATTTAAATTGCAAAAAAACCGTAAATCTTATTTACAGGGTGCGTACGGTAATTGAGGACACTCATGTATATGAATGTAATTTCTGGAGAACAATTTTGTTTGTTTTTTTTCTTGTCAGATCATCAATGGAGGACTATAAAATAACGCAAGAAATGAAGAGACATGCAGTTATCGTCGCTATATGCGCGAAACACACCGATTTAGAAATCTCCAATTTTCTCAATTGCGCCCGATCATTCGTACATAAGGTATATAAAATATATAGTGTATGAGAAAATGTTTATATAATAATTGCAATGGAAATAGGAGTAAAAATATATTATATTTTCGCTGGAGGATTTTTCGATAATAATTCATTACTCTCGTAAATATAATTCGCATATACGAGAGCATTAGTGAATTCACCTTTAAAATCTTCATTTTCAAAAGATCTTTCTTCTAGCGATTCTACATCAACTATTTTGCTTGTTGAAGGATTCTCTGACATTGTTATGATATATATAATTTAAATATGATCACCGGACTGCTCTGTATCACTAGTAAACGCACACTGCTGCTTGCTCTACTAACGACTGTTCCGATGCTCGAATCATTTCGTCATTCTTAACGATCGTTTAGAATGACACAAAGGAAGTTTTTGAAGAGGGATTGCCAGAAGAGATAAAGACACAACACAAGTTCAACATAACACGACTTCAACACAACATAGAGAGTTGTAACAGAAACAAATATTTTATATATACGATATAAGATTACGAAAAATTATCTCATACTAGTTTAACCCTTTGCGGTCGGCTGATTTCGAAGAGATCGATAAACATTGATAGTTGATCTGTAAGTTGATCTAAACATTTGAATCTAACATCGGGAGGATAGTTTTCTTTCATTATCGCTAGTCTCGTTTGCCGTACCGCGCGCCAGGCGATCATGAATGCCAGCCTGACGGCACCGACTTCTACGACGACTTGCGAATGACGCCACTATGGCGGCATCGACCGCAAAGGGTTAAAAGCACTCCTATATATTTCATAACAATATTATTATTCCTATTTTTATTGCAATTATTATATAAAAATTTTCTCATACACTATATATTTTACAGATAAGATTTACGGTCTTTTTGCAATTTAAATCATTAATAATATATTTAACAAACACTAATATATTTAAGAAACGTAGTTTTATTATTTATTAATGTTTTCTATTGCATTTTTATGCTTACAGAATAAAAAGAACCATACAGCAGGGACCGAATCTTAGCCGTCAGCTCGGTAGTCTGTTACCTTCGCTGCTGCGCTACGCCGCTTCGTTGAATACCCTTCTTACTAACTCGTACACTTATGTCGGCTCTTTTCTTTAGACCGTTTTTTCTCGAAAACGAAGAGGTATTGCATCGTATGCTATTACCATGAGTTATTGGTAGTCAAGTACTATTAACTCCGTAAGTTTCGTTCCAAACTGTTTCCCGGTCGATGTGTCCTCCCCTTGTAAGTAATTCTCTGCAAAAATTAACTACCAAACGACGTTAACTTAGAAAATATAGTAAATAAAAGTTTCATATGTGAGATACTGTCCATCACAAGCATGCAAACTGCATGTGCAGTTATTAAAACCCACGTAAGTTGCATATGCGTTTTGCATCGCGCGCTACGCGCGCGGTTATTAAAACTCAAGCGTAAGTTAAAAACGTGTAAGCTGCACACACGGTTATTAAAACCCACTCGTAAGTTGCAAGTGCGTTTTGCATCGCGCGCTGCGCGCGATACAAAACGCACTTGCAACTTACGCGTAGGTTTGATTGTTCATAACTTTGTAATATTTTAATATCGTTTAGAATATTTCTGCCAATATTCATGACAATTGAACATAAATGGTTTTCAAAAGTTTCTCCAAAATCATTTTCTAAATATCATTTATCACTTCAACCAATAAAGTTTAGTTATGTAAAATAACCGATTAAAGTGATAAATTGCATGTATTTTATCACTTTAACCAAAGCTGTTGTATTATGCATAATAACCAATTTATAACTTTAACCGTAGCATATACATTATTCAATAAAATTAACGCAACAAGAAAGAAACATCAAAATTTTGTTGCATATTTTCAAATGAGCATAACTTTTTTAAAAATGATCGCATTGGGACGACTTTGATTTTATTTTAAAGCCCTGAGCCTGTACTTTAAAAAGGATTTACTCGATTTTCAATTGATCTTCATCCTATCCTTTTTTGGCTCCTAAAACAACAAAATGTTTTATTTTGTCGAAAAATTACATTGTTTGACACACGATACGAACTAGGACAAATTTTTTTGGCAAATTTCAAACAAAGCACCGTAAAATATGGTCTTTTCCACTTAATTTAAAAAAAGCGAAGATTGTACGATTTTTTCGCGCAGATTTACGGCATTTTGACTTTTTTTACATTTTTAAGCATCGGACCGCTAGCATTAGCATTACCCGATGCGTATCACGATGAGGTTCGAATTTGACGCATCATGTGAGCCCTGAAAAGGGCCGATTTCGTGTATGTGTGTGTGTTTATGTGTGTGCGTCTGCATGTGCGTGTGTGCGTACGAGCGTGTACGTGCGTGTATGCGTGTGCGTGTATGTGTGTGTGCGTGTTTTTTTTATGGCAAACTTATCGTGGGAGGATATAAGTTATACTTAATAGTGTCTATTCTCACCTCATCCTTGAATCACCTCTCGTAGACGCTGAAACAGATTGATGCAAGCTGTAATTGCTTTGGGCAATTTTATTCCTTGTCTATTTTATTCCATATTCGGTTCAACGTTGCTTCGAATTCTTGAAGATTAGAAGGTGCTTTCTCCAAATTTCGCAACCGTCTTTCCATCATATCCTACACTATATTCAATAGGATTCAATAGGATTTAAATCCGGGTTAACTGATGGATGTGGTAGTACCTCAATTTTTCATTTTTTGTGAGAAAGTCACGGATAATACTAGTAGTATGTGGTCGAGCGTTGTCTTGCATCAAGGTAAATTTGCGCCCTATTTGCTGACGTATCGGAGTCACGTGAGGACGCAAAATTTCTTCCATGTAACGTATCGCTGTCAATCTTGGAGGTGGCACAGTTACAAGATCCGTACGTTCGTGCATCGATATTCTACCCCATACTATAATGGTTCCATTACCAAAAAACTAGATCGGATCGACATGATTCTCCTCGAAATGTTGTCCTCTACAACGCCAAATACGGAGTCTTGCGTCATTGCCATGCAGATAAAACCGTGATTCGTCAGTAAACAATACATTTCTTCATTATTTCAGAGTTCAGTTTCGATGGGCGCGTGCATATTTCGAACGAGCGCGTAGATGAACTATTGGCAATATTGGCACTCGAACACGAACCGGTGATCGCAAACCTTGTTCGTGCAGAGGTCTTCTGATTGTTTGATTACTGATCTGCGAGAAAAACCATACAATCTTCGCTTTTTTTTTTAAATTACATGGAAAAGACCATATTTTATGGTACTTTATATTTTTTTTCTTTTGTTTTAATTTGCGTAAATTTGCAAAAAAAATTTGTCCTATTTCGTGTCGGATGTCAAACAATGCAATTTTTCAACAAAATAAGATACTCTATCGATTTAAGAGCCAAAAAGGGATAGAATGAAAATAAATTGAAAATCGAGTAAATCCTTCTTAAAGTACAGGCTCAGGGCTTTAAAATAAAAACAAAGTCGTCCCCATACGATCATTTTTGAAAAAGTTATGCTCATTTGAAAATATGCAAAATTTTAATGTTTTTCCTTGTTGCGTTAATTTTGTTGTATATACATATAAATTTATAAAAATATAAAAATTTAAGTATAAATATTTATTATAATATTTGTATATATACAGGTATACTCGGAAGCACAAAAATGTTTGACATTGTTGTCAATAAAGCTTGGCGATAGAGAATTTTTTTATGGACAACAACCTAGCATAATAGATGCTATTATATATTCATACTTAGCACCATTGCTCAAGGCACCATTACCAAATCCAGTTTTGCAAAATCATTTAAAAGCTTGTACAAGTTTAGTAAAATATGTGTCACGTATTTCGCAAAGATACTTTGAAAATGAATATCAAGAGTATGAAAAACACCAAGCTGAAGAGAAAGCGGCAAAACTAAAACAAGATCCTGACAACGAATTTCCAAATAAGAAAAGAAATCAATTTCTTGCTGCATTTATTGCTACTTTGACAATGACAGCATATGCATTATCAACAGGAATTGTAGAGGTAAGAGTTATTTTTTATATGCACAAGAAATAAAAACATATTATAATATAACATACCATAAACACATACATATGCATATACATGCATACACGCACATTATAATATACTTTTACTTCTTTATTCGTTTCAAATATCTTTTTATATATTTTTAATCTTTTGAAATATCTATAATAGAGATAATATCAGGTGAAACATACAATATTGTTCAAACAAGTCTGACAAGGAGATGCCACAACCTGCGAAATCGATTTTCAAACGAGTCATACCTCGTTCGATGTAAAAGTTCAAGTTTAGATGTAAAAAATGACGACCCTAAAAGGACTCGGGTGAATGGGTCTTCGTTTAGAATAAATTGTGAGGCAAAATTAGACTAACGGAGCTGCGTCCTCTAAGAGCGGAAAATGTGCAAGTGTAAGCAACAAATCAGTGTAGCTGAGAGGTCTAAAGCTCCCACCCGACGATTTTTCATGTTTCATTTTTTTACCTCGCACGTGCAATTAATGTTTTTAACTTATAATCAATAAAATATTTATACTTGTTCCGTTTTTATGCAGACAAGTAAGGAATTATATAGCGAAGTTCCAGGCTTTATTAACGTGAAATATAAAACAGAAACATAATTTACAATTCTTAAAACGGAATATATTTCTCTTATATCAGGTGTAGTAAAAAGAAATCCATTATTTTTGCATGAAATTGAAGGCTTTAATTACCATAATTAGAATGATCCGATCTAAATCAAATATGCGCCGTTTTGTTCGATAACTTGTTGCCATTTTGAAGGTAATTTCATTATGCCTCTTTCATAGAAGCCCTCGTCCCTATTGGCAAAAAATTGAGACAGTCGATTTTCACAAGCTTCTCTTGAAGCGAATTTTTCACCAGAAAAATTGTTCGCCATGGACAGGAACACATGGTAATCACTTGGTGCCAAGTCCGGACTATAAGGTGGATGCATAAGAACCTCCCAACCAAGCTCTCGGAGCTTCTGGCGAGTCACTATCGATGTGTGTGGCCTGGCGTTGTCCTGATGGAACACAATTCCTCTTCTATTGGCCAAAGCTGGCCGCTTCTGGGCGATTGTTTCCTTCAGACGGTCCAATTGTTGACAGTACAGTTCCGAGTTAAGAGTTTTGCCGTAGGGGAGCAGCTCATAGTAGATAATTCCCTGCCAATCCCACCAAATACACAGCAAAACCTTCCTGGCCGTCAATCCTGGCTTGGCCACCGTTTCCGCCGGCTCACCGCGATTCGACCACGACCGTTTTCGCTTGACGTTGTCGTAAGTGATCCACTTTTCATCACCAGTGACCAACCGCTTCAGAAACGGGTCGATTTTGTTGCGATTCAGCAGCGATTCGCAGATGGAAATTCGGTCCATGAGGTTTTTTTGCGTTAACTCGTGTGGCACCCATACATCGAGCTTCTTTTTGTATCCAGCCTTATTCAAATGGTTCCAAACGGTTTTTTGTGCAATCTTTAGCTCTTGGGCAATCGAAACAGTGCTTACATGACGGTCGGACTCGACAATGTCCATGATTTTATCGATATTTTCGACAATTGGCCTTCCAGTGCGTGGTGCATCTTTGACATCGAAATTACCGGAACGGAATCGACGAAACCAAAATTGCGCGTGATTGGCTGTTACAATATCAGGACCATAAACACTATTCACATTTTCAGCCGCCTGGCTTGCGTTTTCGCCTTTATCGAAGAAAAACTGTAAAATATAGCGTATTTTCTCTTTGCTAGTGTCCATCTTTGACGCGCGCTCACACAAAACTGAGTCAACTAATCACAAAACTGTCAAAAAGGTTTTTTTAGAAATCTCATCTTTCTAACGCCATCTAGTGGAACCCGATCGGACTTATACAACGCGAGATACAGATAACTAAAGCCATCTATTGGAAAAATAATGGATTTCTTTTTACTACATCTGATATATCACTAAATTGTATGCATGTCACAAGATATAAACATTTTGCAAAATCTATACGACTAAAGTATACATTTGAACTCGAGCTAATGCGATTCGCATACAATTGATTATTCGCTACTTATTATCAGCACCAGGATTTAAATGTATGTTGCAATATGATTGGTATGTGTCCAACTTAGCAGAGGTCGACGTTTTTTATAACGTTATTCAACAATATTTTCCAAGCAACATCTATAATCAAAAGTGCATTTGAGTAGTAAAACAAGGCGGGTTTTAACCCACTTTTTAAAATGAATTTTCGAAAATCTGACCTTTTTTAATGAAATCTTTTTGAACCTGACCTTTTTAATGAAATCTTTTTGAACCTGAACTTTTTAATAAAATCTTTTTGAACCTGACTTTTTTAATGAAATCTTTTCGAACCTGATCTTTTTAACGAAATATTATAATTAATACCCCCCGCCCTATTTATTGATAACCCGCATATGTCCGGAGAAAAACGTGCTAGGATATAGGTAGGCTCGAATCTGGGTCTCGCGGTTGCTATCCGAACGCTCGAGCCTCGTAGACCACTGCCTCCTATTGCTAGTAGGCGTCACATTTACAGGTAAGAGATGGCGGCCGTGACGTCACGCACATGTCCACAGAAAGAAACGTGCCGGGATGTAGATAGGGTCGAACCTGGGCCCCGCGATTACTATCGAACGTCTATCGGACGTCTCTCGAACGTCTATCGGACGTCTCTCGAACGTCTATCGGACGTCTATCGAACATCTCTCGAACGTCTAATAATCATCATACCGCAAATAAAGAACTGTATTTTTATTAAACACAATTATCATATAAAATCCTAAGAGGTGAAAGGGGATAAGCGTGTTGGAAGAAACATCTGTACATTTGAAATAATGTTTTATTAAGCATCGTACAATTCTCTCCAAGTCCACCAATTGAAAATGTTTAGTACATTCTGTAAGGCACAATTTTTCATATGATTATTACATCGAAAAGTATTATTCAATTTTTGCAGAGAAGACATGTCATCGTAATCGGTGTCCACGGTCCTAATGATCACGTTGCTTCCACATTGTCATCCAGAAGGTGTAACAACCATTCCCGCCTTTCATGCCCCTTTACATACATAAGTTGAGATGCGACATCTTCAAGCTCGCCATACATATCACCCACCACAGCTGTAGTAATCAAATGTTCAGCTCTGCAGTATTTGACGGTTCCATCTTCCCATCGTAATCCATGGTGATTAGCCGTTAACCAGTAGGCTCTCGATTTGTCTGATCTTGTGAGCAGATGCCATCGCATCGGACTCGTGAAGATGTAGTGTGAAAGAATAGTTCCATTCTTCAGTATCACCGCTTCTTTTATAATAAATCTCTTTCCAACCATGTATCCTTATAGATCCACAAAAGTCGGCATATCCATGGTGAAATATTCTTCGACACATCCGGGAGAGAAATGTTGTTTATAGCACTTTGTTGCATGTATTATTCTTTTCTCGTACATACTTTCTGATGTTAGTTAATTTATACATAATTTTATGTTTTCCAGAATATCATTTATTTGTTCATGGCTTCATACATTATATTTTTTATCACGCACGCTAACAATTCACAATCAATGAGCGACTCGCGGTCAAAGTCGCTACTTTCTTGTATTGTTTTTGTTGCAGTATGTATATTAGTAATGTAATTCTTCTTTTCACGAAGAATATTTACAAAACTTTTGAATTTTACATTAACTATACAAATATTTCTGATAACCATCCGTACATGTGATTGATGCAAATTTCAAATGTAAATAATACATTTAACGTATCTGGTGTTACTAATATAAGCAATTATTAAAAATTGTGAGTTTAAAAATTTGTGAGTTGTATATCTTACATGACGTTATTGTTAATTCTTCTATACACATCGGGGGAGACGATGTCTTATAAAAATTGACCTGCAGAAATCTTTAGATGTTATCACGTTACCCCATTAGCGCATTCCAAGTTTTGATCGGCAATAGCAGTTGTTTGTTACGATTATCATCAATGACTATGTCTATAATTGACTCAGCTCCTACGCTGATTCCGATATTCAAATATTTATAAGCAGTTGCAGTCAAAGCGTATCGGCGTCCTAAGATATGCATAGCAGAAGGTCGTGGAACGCTGAAAAAATATAGAAAATTTACAAGTCTGAATCTGGAAAAAATTACTACGGATAAACTAAAAGAAACAGCGTTATGACACTCACCTCTCGCACATTTTCTTGCTCGGTGGAGCCTCGTCCTCATGTTGAGCAGGCATGTAATAATTTGCTTGTTTAGCGTTCATTTTAGCACCGGCAGCATACATTTTTACTATGTAGACACACTCAAATTTTACTATGTAGACACACAACCGATGAATCTCGCGTTCACAGAGCGACTGAGAGACAGAAGTTTTTTTCTGAAGCCTAATATTATAGCTATTATAGGGCATCCCCTCCTCCCTCTTACTCTTCGGAGTTGTAGCGCATGCGCAGATACATTCTTCAAACCGAGAAACGAGATGTAATTATCTTTGTTTTAGACCCTCCCACCCCATTTGACTTAAGCATGTCCAAACCTGTTTTCTAATGGAAAGAATATAAGGTAAAGCATTCTAGAGTGCAGAGCTATTCTCCGCAGTTAATGAAGATATGGAAGACTTCGCTCAAACCGAACGAGAACTGTTGGCGCAATCCACTCGTTTGAATTCGCGATGGACATACGACGCGTGGGTGCAAAAGTGTGACAAGTGTATCAGATGTTTGGAGGAACAGTCGAGCAAAACGACCGCGATTGTTGATTGACGCCACGCAATCAGTGGTGGTTCGTATTGCACGACTCGAGGGACTAAAAATTTCTGTGCAACAACGCTTCATACATGTGGGTGCTGGACATGCATCAAGAGATGCAGAATTGGTATGGAAAGAAATTGATACGGCGTTCGAAAGCCGCATATCAACCGGCGCATATTATTAACGTGAACTATATCGAACCTCTTCGATTTCTCCAAGATGAGAAGAGTACGGTGCTCGAGCACATGCGAAGTGCTATGGAAAGGCACAACAATCTTAAGATGAACACTGTGTTCAATGGCGAGTTTATCGCGGGTGACGATCACGCGTTCAAAAGTATTAACACGAGAAACAGTGAACTCTTTTCTGCTTTGGATTTGGAAAAATGGTACGAGCAACGCGTCATTGAGCCTACCTTAAAATCTTTGGAGGAATTTCAAGAACGTGATAGTGGGTGGGCATTGCTGCGCATGCTTGATCTCACAGTCAATATCAACAAATACAATCCATTGCATGCAGGGTGCAACATTGCCGCGCGAAATAAAATTAAAGAAAGCAGTGATAAACGTACAAACTAAAGACAACGCATGTTTTGCATGGTCTGTAGTCGCGGTATTATATCCAGCTGAAAGACATGGAGACCGGAAACCTTCGTACCCACATTACACCAAAATATTCAATCTTCAGGATATTGAATTTCCAATGACGATTAAACAAATTGCCAAGTTTGAACAATGATCGCGTACGCGTATATCCCCCACCGCGAATGATTTTTCGCATATACGACAGTGCATTGCGCTATAAAATGCTGCATACTGTTCTTGTGATAAAATTTCCATAGTGGTATTATTATACAAAATAACTTTTATACGATGCACCAATTGAACAGCTAAACAACATATCCATCAACGTATATACCATTCAAGATAAAAAGAAGCAGAAAGAAGCATGTACGATCGTTCCAATACGTTTCGCCAGTAAGAAGGAAAAGCATATAAATTTGTTATATGTGCAAGATCCACGAGAGTACAAGATGGGACATTTTGTGTGGAACAAGAATTTGTCACGTCTTATAAGCTGGCAACTAAGTAAGAAAAAATCCAAGAAATATATATGTGATCGGTAAGAATATTCTCTATGAATACAATATAACAAATATGATATAAAAGAAAAACTCGTAATATCCATTTCTTTTTCGTTTCAGTTGCTTGCATTATTTTCATTCCAACGAGAATCATATCATAGATTGCAACAAGTTGAATGACTGTACAGTCGTCCTGCCAACAGAGGACAACAAGTGGCTCAGTTTTACCAATTATAGCAGAAGGGAATGGATTCCATTCGTGGTGTACGCTGACCTGGAATTCATTCTAGAGAAGACGCTAAACGAAGAAAAAATATCGTATGTGTATCAGCATCATAAAGTACGTAGTATAGCTTATTGCGTACGATGTTCCTACGATGAATCATTATCCGCGTATTAGTGTCGTCGCGATCCGAATTGCATTTCGTGGTTCGTCGAGGAACTTAAACAATTGGCGCATCATATAAAAGTTATTTTGTATAATAATACCACTATGGAAATTTTATCACAAGAACAGTATGCAGCATTTTATAGCGCAACGCACTGTCGTATATGCGAAAAATCATTCGCGGTGAAGGATATACGCGTACGCGATCATTGCCATTTAACCGGGCAATACAGGGGTCCTGCACATTCCAATTGTAATTTAAATTATACAGATTCCTATTATATTCCGATAGTTTTTCATAACTTATCAGGTTATGACGCTCATTTTATTATCAAGGAAGTAGCCACCGCATTCGAAGGTCACGTCGATGTACTACCAACGAAAGAAAAATATATTTCATTTACCAAACATATTAAAGATACAACAAATAAAACATCAGACTGGCGAAATCATATTAAATTGCGATTCATTAATTCGTACAAATTTCTCAGTACCAGTCTCGATAAATTAGCATCGTTTCTCACTGGAGACAAATTAAAAATTCTTCAATCCGAATTAAAAAACTTATCCAGCAAAGATTTTGATTTATTAACGCGAAAAGGTGTCTTTCCATACGAATATGTGGATTTTAATGACAAGCAGGATCAATGTTTGCTACCGCGCGAGTTATTCTACAGTTCGTTGACAGATGATATAGTATCTAAGCGCGATTACACGCACGCCGTAAATATATGGGAGCAGTTTTCTATTCAAACCTTAGGCGAATATAGCGATTTGTACCTGAAGACTAGTGTCCTGTTATTGGCTGATATTTTCGAAAATTTCCGCGATAGTTGTATCAAAAGTTACGGTCTAGATCTCGCGCATTATTACACACTACCAGGTTTCACGTGGGACATGATGTTAAAACATACAAAAATTAATTTTGAATTGCTCACAGATATTGATATGGTAATGTTTATCGAACGCGGTGGTACACGTGGTGGTCTGAGTCAGTGTTCCGGTAGATATGCAAAAGCCAATAACCAATACATGCAGTCTTACGACCCATCGAAGCCATCCTCATACCTCATGTACTTTGATATAAATAATTTGTATAGTTGGGCAATGTGTCAACCGTTACCATACGCTGAATTTAAGTGGGTTGATGATACATCGAATTTTGATGTATCATCAATCCCGCTAGATTCGCTCACAGGTTATATTCTCAAGGTTGATTTGGAGTATCCCCAACACCTACATGATGCACACGTAGATCTACCATTCTGTCCGACGCGAACGAAGCCCCAGAACAAAAGCCAAGAAAAACTCCTTGCGACTTTATATAATAAACAGCGTTATGTTATTCAATATTGCAACCTGCAGCAATGCACACGCCATGGTCTTCGTATCGGAAAGATTCATCGCATACTCCAATTCACGCAATCTCCATGGCTACGCAACTACATAGAATTAAATACGCAGTTTCGAACGCATGCAACAAACGATTTTGAGAAAAATTTATACACATTGATGAACAACGCGGTATTCGGCAAAACAATGGAAAATGTTCGCAATCACGTCGATGTAAAACTTTTGACAAAATGGGATGGACGATACAGTGCAGAGGCAATGGTCGCAATATCAAATTTTCATAGCCGGAGCATCTTTTCAGAAAATTTAATTGCCGTTGAATTGCGAAATGTGAAGTTCAGCAAATCGATCTATGTAGGTATGTGTATTCTCGACATATCTAAGACCTGCTTGTATGAATTTCACCATGAGTACATGTCACCTCTGTATCGCGAGAAATGTAAAGTACTGTATACGGACATAGATAGTTTAATTTACCATATAATGTCCGACGATGTGTATGAGCTAATGAAACGTGACATTGCTAGGTTTGATACGAGCGATTATTCTCAAAATAACATATACGGTATGCCGCTTAAGAACAAAAAAATTCCAGGGCTTATGAAAGATGAAAATAACGGAGCTATAATGACAGAATTCTTCGGGCTCAGAACAAAAATGTATGTACTGAAAGTAGAAGGTAAAAAAGATACTAAAAGGGCGAAGGGTGTTAAGAGGAATATTAAAGCGCGAACAATCAATTTTAACGATTACACGTATTGTTTGAGAGAGGAAATTGAAACGAGTCAGCGTCAATCGTACATAAGATCCAAGTTGCATGAGGTATACACAATATTCGAAACGAAAACTGCTCTCAGTCCATACGATGATAAGCGATATATTGTGACTCGATAAATACATTACTATAGGGACATTATAGTATACCATTATAACGTTTATTTGTTTTATTGGCTATTTTACAATTAAGTATGTCATCAAATGTTCTAATAAAACTGTATTCATTTTTTTTTACAATACATTATCCTTTTGTATCCATGAATTATGCGAATTGTCGAATCCCAGCCTTTTTACATATACCTTGCCACCTTGCTTGCGCAACACCTTTTCTACTAAGTATACATCTGGATTGGTGATACTATGTTCGTGTTCATAGAAACCCCCAGCGACAGGTTTCCCGCGCGAGTCTGCGAGTAGGTAAGTTGCAGGATTAGTTGTCTGCACTTTGACGATTTTAAACACTTCGGTTGTCCAATTCGATGTATAGCCTTTTTCAAAGTTTTGAATTTGCTGACACGTACCGGATCACCCACTTTGAATTTCGCAGGTGCTGCAATCTTTATGTTGCTGTAGACTGTGTTTAAGAGCTTATTAGCAATCGCAGGTGTCACATCGATAGGACGCATGCCGATAGTTCGATGTTTTCGCATGTTGTATTCAGCGACGAGGCGCGGTAACGAATCGATCCATTTGTAAGTTCCGTTGAACGTAAACATTTTCCACATGTCGTTCTTTAACGTGCGGTTGAATCGTTCCACAACAGATGCCTTTATTACTGAATAAGTCGAATAATGACACCGTGTTTCTTCACAAGACTCTGCAACTTTGTATTGTAAAACTCCTTTCCCTGATCAGTTTGCAAGTTCTTCGGACATCTTCCATCCGTTCGAATTATCTTTGCGAATGCCTTAGCTACCTCCTTTCCGCTTTTGCTCTTTAACGGCACGGCCCATGCATGCTTGCTCAGTACATCGATAATGGTGAGTATGTAGTGGTGGCCTCAATTGAATCGTGAGTAAGGACGCATTTCCACCACAACGACCTGCCAAAGATCATCGTATCCACGTACAATGACGCGTCTACGAAGAAAATTTCGTCTCGCTGGGGCGTGTAATTCTTTCACTAGTTGTTGTTTGTCGGAATGTTTCTTCTCATCATTTTTCCTCGTTACTTGCCGAGTCATTTTCCCATCATGCGTGAGGCTTTGTCGCTCTGCACCGGCAGAAACAGCTAAAATAGTATCGATGAGTTGCTTTTCTTCTTTTTGTTAAATTTTGACGATTGCTTCTCCGTTGCAGCTCGTGATGATTCGTCTCCTGCTTATGTCGATACTATACGTCAATTTAACTGTAATATTTTACTTTTATATTTTCCGCGATTTTTTTATCTCTGAACCTGTCCAGTCTAAAATTCGTTCTATGTTCTCATGAATGCTATTTATGCTCTGTATGTTTTCTTCCGGTAGTCTTCCAGCCAATCCTTCAATTTTTTAACATTCTCATCTACATATTGCTTCGTCTCAACGTTACTTTCATGCAGTGGAAGCTTTACAGCATTTATATTCTCATCAATATACTGCTTCTTCTCAACGTTACTCTCATGCAACAGAAGTTTTATAGACTTTGTACTCTCATCCACATAATATTTATGCGCAGCGTCATTGAAGGCTTCCGACCGCGGTACATTATGTATCGCATACATTTTTGCATCGAAACATTTGCCATCAAAGCCTTTACTATTGGCAGCTAGACAAAGGGCATTTTTATGTACGTATCGTTTGATTGCAACGTTGTTTAAATGATATCTCACACCTGCAACACATTCTTCCACGTATCGTTTAGTTGCAACATCATTGTCAGCTTCAGATTGCGCTATATGTTTTATCTTGCGCGACTTTGTGTCAAAAACTTTGGCAGGGTTTAAATAAAGGACATTTTCATGAATGTAATTTTCAACGTGTTCATTTCATTGATGCGCTCGATCAGTATTCGCACCATTGCTCTCCAAACTTATTCATCGACATTTCGGAGCAAGTTGTACCAACTGACAGACTCGTTTCAATGCCACGCTGCTTAATTTATAATGAGACCAGCTTCGCGGAGTTCTTCGATAATCGATAAAATTTCGTGCTCGTGCGAGTTGTTGCCAGCTTGGTGCGAAGCGTCAAGCAATCGCAGACGATCCACCAGCTCGTTTGGATCATCCCAATGCACGTAATCTATATTGCTGTCATTTAAGGTCATAGTTTGCGATGCGTATAAACCTTTTCCTCCCACTTTATTGCTCGACGTATCTGATACTAGGGGAGCGATTATATGTTTATATTTGTGCCCCTTGTTACCGAGTATAGGATTTTGCAGGAGGTACCCGCGTCTGTGAGTATTTGTCGCCAATAGTATATTTATGTATTTTTACATATCAGCTTCGGTATACACAGAATCGTTGAGGATTCATTTGAATATTAGTAAAGATCGGGTGTTCCAATGTATCCTGTTTCGCCTATGATTATATTATCGTCTCTGTCCACATCGATACGTTTATCACCGAGCATGGCTCCATTGTTACTAAGACATACGCCGTAAACATAATCTATGATGTTATCTTTTCCATTTCTGTTTAGCACAGCTCCCATATATTTTTGACCCAATGGACCAAAATGATCATGTAAAATTTGTTGTCCTTTGTACGTTCGCAACTGACGCCTAACGGATGTCACTACCGGTTCATCGGGGGTTTCGGAAACATTCTCATCATCATCAATGGGTAGATTGTGGATCGGTGAAGGTTCATGTGACATTCCATGTAGTTCCTCATATTGTAGAGCTCCCGTCGATGAGAAATTATTAGAGGATTGTTTAATAGTTTCCGTCTCGGTGTAGTCAATGCGACTGGTGAAAATTTTTCCTTACGCTTTATTTTTTTTTCGGATTTTAATATTACACTCTTTGCTTCTTCGCTTGTACTCATTGATAGTGGCTCAGTTTTAACATCAACGTTACTTTCCACATTAGCGCTGCTTCCCGCGATTTGCTTGAGAGGTTCAATAATAGGTTTAAAGTGTCTCTCCAATGCAACATTTTCCACCATTCTACCGGGTTTCAAAGCGCGATACTTCTTGCGGATCGATTCGCTCGTTTTCGCAATCTCTTCTGCTACCTTTTCACGATCCTCATGCTATTATTCATCATTGATATGTTTGTCTTGTGGATGTTGAAAATGTTACCACGTTGAAGTTACAATGACGATTGTGCATTTCACAGCACAGCAAAGTCGTTAAATCCTCTCCTGTATCGTCCGTCGGTCATTGAGCTGTCCTTATCAATCACTGTGAAATCATATTTATCCTCCCAACATTTGCAACACAATGCACTGAAATCCTCATATGACATGTCAGTGTTCACATGATCGTCGTACACATGTTTCAAGTTGGTACCATGCTGTTTAAAGAGAATCAGAAGATTTACATTGTCCCGTATAAGATGCTTGGGTACTTTTGCGTACGTCTGACAGAGATAGAAACAGTCAACGTTCGAATGACGACCCATTGCAAAGTATTCTCTTATCGTATCTTGTTTGTCACATGCAACATCATCAAAGATAAAAATGGAATTTTTTAGCGCTTCGGTTGGAATCGTTGGAATCACATCGCTGTTATTGAAGAATGTAAAGTATCCAATTTCATCTATCGATTTTAGCAGATTTTCCAAGTAGCGATATTTAGGTTGTTGCAACGATTTCGAGTACACGTACATGTTCTCGAAACTTAGACCGTGCGGACTTTTCAACAAGCTGGTGAGAACGTTCGTCTTGCCGCAATTCGAGGGATTGCATATGATGCCGCGTATGGTGTTCGGAAGCATGTTTCCATGCCTGCGCGCCTCTTGCTCAAGCATTGATTGCGTTCTATTGTCGAAATTTGTCACGCATATCGACGTCGGTTGTCGGTCGGATGTCGGTCACGAATCGCATGTTTCCCCGTGAGTCACAAAATTGATTTCGCTAATGGATCATTGCGATTTAATTTAAATGTGACGTTGATTTAACTATATATAAGCGCGTCGATCTTAGAAACACTCATTTTAGAAAATGTTGCTCCTGCTGACAGATACTCATGATATTCGAGAGCTAACCTCCGAACAAGTGAAATACATACCGAAGATTGTTCTGTTACGAGAATTTGCAAAGTATATTGACGATTTGCAGGACAGACGCCCTGAACATTTAAGAGTCGATCCAGAGGTTCAGTAGTTTCGTCGGTGTTTGGAACATTACAATCGTCCGTGGCAGCGAACGCATATCAACGGTCCGACATCACTGATCAAGGACTGTAGTGAATGTCGTCGACAAAAGTCAAAGTCGGCGGCGGTCTGTTTAATTGCGCGATAAATGCGCTTCCTATCGAACTACACATTCCCAGATATCAATTTTGTGGTCCTGGAACTCGTTTGGCAAAACGATTGGCCAGAGGCGATCAAGGCATTAATTCATTGGATGCAGCGTGTCGTGAGCACGATGTAGCCTATTCGCGTAGCAACAATCTCACTGATCGGCATGCGGCGAATGAGATTCTAGCTGCGAAAGCGCTGAAACGCATAACTTCGAAAGATTCAACTCCAGGCGAAAGAGCTGCTGCTGCAGCCGTTTGGACTGCGATGAAAGCCAAAACGAAAATCGGCATGGGCATAGACATGAAGAAAAAGAAGTCGTCCAAGAAAGAAATCCGAAAACGAGCACTTCCAATAGCAAAACTGGGTGGTATTTTACCAATTCTACCATTACTGAGAGTTCTCGATTCACTAGTCGGTGGAGCGGCGGGTGTCGCAAAAGCGGTGAATGATGGCAAAGCCGCGTAACGTAAGCTGGAAGAATTAAAACGTCATCATCGCGCTTTGGAAGGTCGCGCTATGAAATGTCGCGGAATCTATCTTGCTCCGTACAAACGCGGGAAAGGCGCTGCAGGAAAAAAAAACGTCAAAGAGACGCTAAAATTACCCATGGGTGCAATGACTAATGTACAGTTGGAAAGACTAGCGAGACGTATGCGTATATCTTTCTTTCGAGGTGTTTTCAAGCGTGACGCCTTACCGATAGATGGAGTACGTTAAAAGGAGAGCGGTATTGCAAATTTAGACAACACAGAAGGACCAGGTACTCGCTGGGTGGCGTATGCGAAAAGAGGAAATCGCGCAGTATATTTTAACAGTTTTGGTAATCTTCGGCCACCCAAGGAATTGATTCGATACCTTGAGAGAGATGTATTGAAAATTGTGTACAATCGCACGTCTTATCAACATTACAACCAGAGTATTTGCGAACAATTGTGCTTGCAGTTTCTCCAAACAATAGAGGATCAATTTAAATGATGATGATGACATTCTACTAACAGCAGTCAGTATTCGTTCGGCAGTTTGCAAACATGTCGCTAACGCTTACGTTGACTGGCAACAGTAGCACCCTTACGGTGAGCTACTTTCCCGCTATAA